GAGAGAGAGATACGCGAGGAAACAAATAAGGAAATTAGTACTTTGGTGCAGATCAGCTGGCACGGAGCCGTTATTACGTGTCAGCTGTCGTTGATATTATAGCTTTTTTAGCTGTCAACCAACTCCCTCTCAGAGGTGACTCGATTCACTCCACAGCATGTCCGAGTGCAGTGCATCGGAACATAAACCATGCCCAAGGCGGGCTAAACAGTTCATCGTCTCCGTCTCTACTATTTCTCTCCGAGTGCAGCGATGAGGAAGCTGCCATCCGTAACCAGTGTGCCTTGCTCGTGATTTACCAGTGTCTGTGCTGCCACGCACACAATGTTTCAAAAGTGGTTTCTATGTTGCCCTTTATTTGTGTATGTACTTGCGATAAGTGTGCGTCTTTGCGCAATGCTGTTGGCCTTGCTGTTTGATATATATTGTGCCGCAGGCCCGCAGCACGTGACGGTTTTGTGTGCCCTCCCATGAAAATCATATGCCCTCCCTTTAGATTTGTTCTGGCGCCGGGTCTGTATACAACTCAATGCATTCTTATGGGACGCAGTGCTGCAGTTGGTTGTCTTTGATCTCTGGACACACACACAGGTGTTATGAGTAGGTGCTCAGGAATAGAAACAAACACTGACAGACTGGACTTTAACAGACTGTCTCAGCCTATTCTTTTCTGTCTGATGGAGACTTCATACTGACTTGAACAGGTTCCACATATTTTATACATTATTGGTGACGTATGGTTTTAGTCGAAAAGTTTGCAGTCAAAATATTCTTCTGCTTTCCCAAGCCTTTTTACTTTCTTTTCTCATCTTAATACAAATTCATTCACTACTACTTACATCTGATATTTAACTCCTTCAGCCTATTTTCAGCTGCAGAAACTATTCAACTATTACATTATTCAGCTATTTCAGGACATCAAGGCTATACGTGTTGTTATTTATACCTTTTTAAAAACATTTTCTTTTAAATATTAAGCTTTTTCTGCATTTGTTTAGCTAAAAGCAGCTACCATTCAGCTAATAACATATCCAGCTTTTTCTGCATTTTCAGCTAAATTCAGCCATAAATGTTCACAGTTTACAGCATTCACACGCATCTTCTGCAGGAAATGCATTTTCTAGTTATGCTATACTCTGCTATGACAAGTGCAACTACGGAAGTGGATTGGAGTCTTTCAGAGCCTGTCACAGTTCCAGATCATACCAGTATAAAGCTATAACATGCTCATGTCTTTATTATATTTGTGTTGCAAAGGTCATGCCACAGTCTGACAAGCCTAACTTGTTTAAGAATTCAAAATGCAGCCCCCACTTCAATCAATAAACCATTCCAAATATATATCATGTGCAGTGCTCATTAGTAGCCGTCATCCCATGCAGTTTAAACAAACTGGGACCACAGCAAGGCAGCGTTACACTGGTGAGTACATGTGAAAGGATTTCAGGAGCCTTTTGCTTAATTTAAATTATTTTAGTGGTTTGAGTAAGAGTACTTTTTAGAAATTCTAACAATGTATTTTTGAAAATGTATGAAACTAAAAAAAGTCTCCATACCTGTTAAATAACAAACTAACTTTCTACGAATAAATTCAAGATGTTTTTTAAGATAGACTATATACAGTGGGGCAAAAAGGTATTTAGTCAGCCACCAATTGTGCATGTTCTCCCACTTAAAAATATGAGAGGCCTGTAATTTTCATCCTAGGTATACCTCAACTATGAGAGACAAAATGAGAAAAAAAAATCCAGAAAATCACATTGTCTGATTTTTAAAGAATTTATTTGCAAATTATGGCGGAAAATAAGTATTTGGTCAATAACAAAAGTTCATCTCAATACTTTGTTATATACCCTTTGTTGGCAATGACAGAGGTCAAACGTTTTCTGTAAGTCTTCACAAGGTTTTCACACACTGTTGCTGGTATTTTGGCCCATTCCTCCATGCAGATCTCCTCTAGAGCAGTGATGTTTTGGGGCTGTCGCTGGGCAACACAGACTTTCAACTCCCTCCAAAGATTTTCTATGGGGTTGAGATCTGGAGACTGGCTAGGCCACTCCAGGACCTTGAAATGCTTCTTACGAAGCCACTCCTTCGTTGCCCGGGCGGTGTGTTTGGGATCATTGTCATGCTGAAAGACCCAGCCACGTTTCATCTTCAATGCCCTTGCTGATGGAAGGAGGTTGTCACTCAAAATATCACGATACATGGCCCCATTCATTCTTTCCTTTACACGGATCAGTCGTCCTGGTCCCTTTGCAGAAAAACAGCCCCAAAGCATGATGTTTCCACCCCCATGTTTCACAGTAGGTATGGTGTTCTTTGGATGCAACTCAGCATTCTTTCTCCTCCAAACACGTCTAGTTTTTACCAAAAAGTTCTATTTTGGTTTCATCTGACCATATGACATTCTCCCAATCCTCTTCTGGATCATCTAAATGCTCTCTAGCAAACTTCAGACTGGCCTGGACATGTACTGGCTTAAGCAGGGGGACACATCTGGCACTGCAGGATTTGAGTCCCTGGCGGCGTAGTGTGTTACTGATGGTAGCCTTTGTTACTTTGGTCCCAGCTCTCTGCAGGTCATTGACTAGGTCCCCCTGTGTGGTTCTGGGATTTTTGCTCACTGTTCTTGTGATCATTTTGACCCCACGGGGTGAGATCTTCCTTGGAGCCCCAGATCGAGGGAGATTATCAGTGGTCTTGTATGTCTTCCATTTTCTAATAATTGCTCCCACAGTTGATTTCTTCACACCAAGCTGCTTACCTATTGCAGATTCAGTCTTCCCAGCCTGGTGCAGGTCAACAATTTTGTTTCTGGTGTCCTTTGACAGCTCTTTGGTCTTGGCCATAGTGGAGTTTGGAGTGTGACTGTTTGAGGTTGTGGACAGGTGTCTTTTATACTGATAACGAGTTCAAACAGGTGCCATTAATACAGTTAACAAGTGGAGGACAGAGGAGGCTCTTAAAGAAGAAGTTACAGGTCTGTGAGAGCCAGAAATATTGTTTGTTTGTAGGTGACCAAATTTAAATACTTATTTTACCGAATAATTTACCAATTAATTCATTAAAAATTCTACAATGTGATTTCCTGGATTCTTTCCCCCCATTCTGTCTCTCATAGTTGAAGTGTACCTAGGATGAAATTACAGGCCTCTCTCATCTTTTTAAGTGGGAGAACTTGCACAATTGGTGGCTGACTAAATACTTTTTTGCCCCACTGTACATGTTCTGAAGCCACTGTGGCCTGAGGATGCTTCCGACACAACATTCAATAGCTTTAGCCAACGAGCTGCTGGGACACGTGAGGCTGCAGCATCTCTGTGCCCTGATGTGAGCTACATAATCTGTCTTTTGGAGTATGTGGTGTTCTCAGGCTCTGTGCCTGTTAGCATGTTAGCCTAGCTCCTGCTGGGTGACAGACCCTGCAGTTTGTGATGGACTCTTACCGCTGATGCACTGGCAGAAAGAACATAATTGCGAGGCCTGGTCTCCTGAAAAGCAGGTGCAGCCTACAAACAAGAGCAGGGAGGAGGAGACACATGTTGGCACAGTCATGCATTACAATCATAAAGCAGAACAACAAAAACAGTTAGCCAAAAGCAAAGCAGCATGAGCAGAACACTGAGTACACGCTGGTGTCTCATAGCAACGCGGTGCAAATTATTTATGACTGGATCATTTATGAATTGCTGTTAAAGCATAAACAGTTAGAATGCTTTAGTAAGTTTTGCTTTAACTTTAATAAAATGATCCTGTGAGGATAATAAGTTCATTTGAAGCAGACTCAGTGTCAGGCAGGGTTGGGGAAAAATAGGACCCAAATGCAGTAAAAGGACTAAAAGGTCCGGTAACAAAAAGCGAGCTTTATTTCCCAAAGCTGAATGACAAAAGAAAACAAGGAACAACTTAACATACCAAAACCGGGGGAGTACGAGGAAGGATCAGGACAAAAAACCTCAGGAACAAACATGGAGCGTGACAGGTAGCATGGACAAGAGCAAAGAGACATAGACGAGAAACGACGACGAACAGACATGGAGCACAGGGGAAGACAAGACAATGCGAACAAAGCACTGAAATCTCCCTTTTTTGTTTTTTCACAAATAGAATTAAGGTTTCACAAATCTCAAAATGTGTTATAAAGAATGTTGAGCCTCTCTGGGATAATCCAGTCCAGATTTGATGAGTCTAGGTCTAGTGGTTTTAGATCAGGACCTTGTCTAATGTGGTCTAGATGTAAAAAAAGCAGCAAAATCTTCCTTTGTTGTATTTTCACAAGTAGAATAAAGGTTTCACAAATCTGAAACTGTGTTATAAAGAATCTTTAGACTCTCTGGGATAATCCAGTCCAAATAAATCGGCTATGCAGCGATTTAAGAGGTACAATCACGGAGGATTGTTCGCTCAGCGCTGTAAATCAAATGTCCCTTAACTTTCCCCTTAACTGCCGAATCGGAAGCCAACTTCAGCGTCGTCATTAGCATAGCTGCCTACAGTTAATGTGTCTTCATTCTTCATTAGGCTTAAACATAATATAAAATCTCTTATCTTGCATTTTGTGTTACACCGACAATATCAGTTGGCAAATAAGGGTTGTATGCAACTGTCTCTGAATCTCTACAATGAGTAGAATATTAAAGTTCAAAAACATTTTCCACTTACATCTGCGCCTCAGATGTGTGGGGTTATTTTTGTGGTTATATCTAATCTCAAACCATGTGATATTTGCTTGTGTGAGAATCAGTCCACCTGTTGTCAACAGAAGCAGTTTCCTACTTCAGTGTTGATGTGACATTTGGGTTTATTATCTTTGTATGTTTTGCTGATTACTTTATCATCATAGTGGAAAGATGGTGGAACAAAGTGGGGACTAGCAAATTATTTTCTACAGCTCAAAAATATGCCAAATATTCAGACTCTGAAATCTGTCCTATATCAGTAAGTGTTGAAAAGCTTATATAACAAAAGTAAACAGCTATATTTATCATTCTCTTGCAGGGAGGGTCTCGTGTATATAAGCGCACGGTGAGGCATTTGCTGGTCAGCCATGGAGAAACTGAAGATGCTGCTTGCTGTTGTCTTATTTCTGGGGACGGCCTCAGCTGCCTCTGTAAGTCTATTTCAATTTTAATTACAATCATCCTTGATTTGCATAGTGTCATTAATCTACTCTGTGATATAAAAGATAAATCACTAATTTTGCGTGGAAACATTTACATTTCTGTTAATAGAATGTGCTAATTGTTCAAATGCTATCCGCCTTCACTTTTAATGAGTTCACCAAATCTTCTATCAACTTTATATAATTGCATAAATTCAGCATATTCACATCTGCTTCAATTAAAAAAAATGTCAGATGAATGCAATTTCTCAAAATAACATATCTTGTCCATCTACAAAATATAAAGAGTTTTTTTTCTTGACCTTTTGTCGAGGGGAAAGAAGGTTAAGGGATAGGAACAAATGTTTTCAAATATGTCTAACCATTTTACAAAATGTTACAATTTCAGTATTATTGACTAGTCATTTATTGTTTCTTTGTAGTCATTTTGTGTCTGTTAGTGGCCATTTTGTCTCTTTTGTGGTTATTTTGTGTCTCTTCCATAGTCATTTTGTGTCTCTTTGTGGCCTGTTCAGTAATCCATCCATGTCATTGAAGGTGAATGCTCTTGTATTTCGTGTCTCTAGCTTGGCGTGGTACAAACGGAAGGTGGCAGTGTTCAAGGAAGAAATATCCCCCTTGGTTTTTTCCGCTCTGTGGAAGTTTTCAAAGGAATTCCCTTCGCTGCCAAGCCTGGAACATTTGAGAAACCCCAACCTCACCCTGGCTGGGATGGTGTGTTCAAACCCCATCTGACCAAACTTTTTTTAATTATTATCTGTGAATAGCATAAACAGAGGCTAAGAAATCTCACTTAAATTCTCCTTTAATACTGTAAAAAAATAACTAATATTGTTTCCATCCACAGGCGTCCTTAAGGCAACTAAGTTTGCCCAGAGATGTCTCCAGATCAGCCTGCTCCAGACTTCAAGTTTTGGTTCTGAAGACTGCCTTTACCTCAACATCTGGGTTCCTCATGGCCGACAAGGTAGCTTTTTTATTCTTTGATTTCTGGAATAATTGATACAGTTGTGCTTGTAAAATGAAATAGCTTCTTCTTTCTTCCAAAGTGTCATCAGATCTCCCCGTCATGATTTGGATCTATGGAGGAGGCTTCTTGGGTGGTGGTTCAATGGGGGCAAACTTTCTCAACAACTATCTGTATAGCGGTCAGGAAATTGCAGACAAAGGCGGTGTCATCGTGGTGTCCATGGGATACCGTGTGGGAACCCTGGGCTTCCTCAGTACTGGAGACTCTCGCTTACCTGGTGGGATAAGTTCTTTATATTCAGTAACTGATGTAAAGTAGCTGGGTATCCTGGATGCCTGTCTGTCAGCAGACCTGTTGGCTTTATTATAATGATTTTGACTCAAAGGTTGTCATCACTACAGGAAATTACGGTCTGTGGGACCAGCATGCTGCCATCGCATGGGTGAGCAGGAACATCCGCTCTTTTGGAGGAGACCCTGGTAGCATCACCATCTTTGGAGAGTCAGCAGGTGGAGCTAGTGTCAGCTTCCAGGTGAGATGCTTAATAGGAAGAATAAAAGGGCTTGCCATGTTTCAGAATCAGAATCAGAATCACTTACAATTCAAGAGAAAGTTCACCAAAAATAAATAAATAAATGGAAATATTGGCCTCAGAGATGTCTGCCTTCTCTACAGTGTAATGGAAGTAGATGGTACTCAGTACTTTTCAACACTCCCACTACTTGTACTATGTCACAAGTGTCAAGCACGACCTAAAAGTATTTTTTTCATCAATTCTCTATTACTGAATCCAGGCAAATTGGCCAGCAAACATAACTACAAGTAATCATTTTATATTCTATGTTTGTATTCCTTCACAGACGCTCTCCCCCCACAACAAAGGGCTGTTCAAGAGAGCCATCTCCCAGAGCGGTGTTGCCTTCTGCCCCTGGGCTATGAACAGGAACCCACTCAAGACAGCAGAGGAGGTGTGTTTTTATTTTATGTCAGACCATGAAAAAGTCAAAAAAATTATATTAATTTATATTCATTAAGGGATTTAAATACAACTGAATGTCCCCTCTTGGGATCAATATAATCTTATCTCATCTTGCATGTTTTTCCTTGGAAGATCATAGAGATACAGACAAATAAAATAATATTTTACTTCGAAAACTATACATTTAATAACCCAAATGTTGCTTTTCACCCCACGTGGAAGTTCCTGTGATCTTCTCTTTGTATTGATTGAGTCTTAAAAATCCACATTAAATATACATTCTATGTTTTAAACATCTCGCTTTTTGCCTTTAAAATGTTAAAATGTTTCTGTATATGTTACTTGTCAACAATAGAAGTATAACATTAGCCAATTAAAATTAAGATTGACCTTTTGGACATCCAGTTGTTGATGGGTTTTATAGCAATTTTTGAATCTACATTGGTGGTTTACTTCAATTTTATTTGATTTCACCATCTTCATATTACAGTTATTGATATAGCCACACATACATGTTACATCTGAGCTGTGCATTCTAAAGGCGCATTTCCATTGCAGGGCCTCGCTCGGCTTAGGCAAGGCAAGGCTCCTCATATCTGTTCAGAAACTAAGACAAAAGTTAAACAAGTACAAACCACAGACTGTCTGTGTCATGGCGAATACAGTCGCTGGTTTATTTATGTCTGTATAGGCCGTTGTTCTGAGTGTGGACGGTCGGAGCATATACTGCGTTAGCTTAGCCGATCTCTATTTAGAAAACACGCCTTTTTAAAAGGTTTTTCGCCTGCCGTCTGTCTGTAGACTTGTCAAAGCATTAATTCATGGTTTTTACTAACCGGTATCAGTATGTTGTTAATTCGGCATCATTTTGAAACGTGTATTACAATTAAATCACGGTCAAATATGTTCATCTTGTTGTAGTTGTAGCCCCCTTGCCAGCGATTCTCTCTCTCTAGTTTAGCATACCCAGCCCGACTCAGCCTGGTTGTTGGCCCGGAAAGAACCTCGATTTTATGGGGCCAGAAAAACTGTGAAATAGTACCCGCTTGCCGGTACTACGCCAAGTGGAAACGCAACCAAAAACGGGCCGGGCACGGCACGCTTAAACCGCGCTACTCGCTGTAGTGGAAATTCGCCATAAGACACCTGGTAAGCCAGTGATTTTGGAAACACTATTACTTTTGTCCACTGGAGGCACCACACTCATCACAAAATAAATTGTCCTTGCGGTTGCTTCAACTCCCCTCTTTACAACCATGTGCACAGGTTGCTGAGAAGGTCGGCTGCCCCATGGATGACTCGCTGGTGGCCTGTCTCAAATATGTTGATGCTGCAACTCTCGTCATGGCTGCCCCCCGCCTCAAACTGAGCTCTCCCGACTGTACGCATTATCTTCTGTCCGACGTACTGCTTCATCTAGAATATAACAAGCAATGGAAATTCACAACTTATGATGTGCAATGTATCTTAGCACACAGTTCTGTTGTAGTTTGCTGTAATTTGCCTCTTATGTCTTTGATCAGAATGTTTTTATCACTTTCTCTCAGCTCCCGGTGTGCTAAACATGGTTCTGGCTCCTGTTGTTGATGGAGACTTCCTCCCCGATCAGCCTGAAAAATTGTTCCACAACACTGCTGACATCGATTACCTCTCAGGGGTTAACAACATGGATGGACACCTGTTCACCTCCATGGACATTTCCTCCATTGGGGACAAGAATCAAGAGACTTCTGTGTAAGGCTAATGATTTGGTTTTCTGTTTTGTCGGCCCTCAGTTATTTTACGAACAGAGCTCTCTGCCTTTTTTCCCTGCAGAGAAGATGTGAAGAAGCTCCTTGGTGCTTATACAAAAGAGACAGGGCAAGCTGGTTTTGAGGTTGCCTTTACTGAATATTCATCCAACTGGGGATCAACACCCACCCAGACCACCATTAAGAAAGCTGGTGTAGACATTGGGACTGACTTCCTCTTCCTGGTTCCTGCACAGACTGCCATCTACCTGCATGCAGCTAACGCCAGGTAAGGCCAACTGCTTCATCCCCTAACCCATCTTAATTTTTTTTTCTAATAGTACTTTAGATCTTCATTGGACAACTTCCACTATACCCAAACACCATTTCTTGAAGCGCAAGATTGCTGCTTTTATTCAGATCTTGCTGTTCTCCTTAACTGTTTGTTCTCATACCTATGAGTTGACACACTATCATTTGTAAGCATTCGGTTATGTCTTTGGAAGTTGAGAGCAAATTTTGCAAATGGCATTGTCATATTTTTTGGACAACAGTAATGTCTGACAGATACAACACACTCTGATGTCATTTTCAGGTCTAGCCGTACCTTCTCCTACCTGCTGTCCGAGCCCAGTTTATTGGCCGGACCGGGCAAACCCTACAATGACTGGGTGGGGGCCGACCATATGGATGACCTGCAGTACGTGTTTGGAAAACCCTTCACCACACCGAAGGCTTATGGGGACCGGCAGAGAGACCTGTCTGGCTACATTATCGCCTACTGGACTAACTTCGCCAGAACTGGGTAAATGCACATGCAACACAAATGTCAACAGCTTGAGGATTATCTTGCTACGAAATCTATCACGTGTGTTGCTTTTGCTTCTTTTTTTTAAACAGAAACCCTAACAAAGGGAACATGCAGGTTCCTGTGAACTGGCCTGAGTTCACCAGCACTGGACACCAGTTCCTGGACATCCATGCTAAGATGAATGAGAGCTCTGTTGGACAGGAAATGAGGCTACGTTTTGTTCACCTTTGGACCAGCACCCTTCAAAACCTCCAATCACGTGGTGTCACAGATGCTCAGTGATGAATTTGCATTCACTGCATTTCAAATGTACCAATTATACAATACATATAATGAGTGATAAATAAACTAGTCAGGAGCTTATTAAACGTTTCAACTTGACTGCCTTTTAAACATACTTTACCATAATTTACCATTTACCATCAGCCATCAATTTGTCATCCTATAAATACTGCCTAAATAAGGTATGTAGTTCAATGCGATTAAAAAGTCACTTTAGTCTATACTGTACATTGTCAATCACAGACAAGGAACACAACAAAACCATGAGAGCAGCGAAGGGCTTAAGATGCTGATTAAAAACAGGTGAGTAGATGGTAAAAAAAGGAGGAAAACACAGCAAACTCCAAAAACTCTACAACCTAGTCCACTTGATTTTTCACAAGATGTTTGAGCAGACAGTGTGCCACATGAGAGTGATTACAAGGCCTTCCCCAAATCTGACAGGGAGATTAATATCATATTTTGTTTAAATTGTACCCTTTAGTGATTGTTCCTCAGTCTTCTGTAACATTGAACACTTAAAGCAAGAGGTAAAAATTGGAGCAGCTAGGTCCAATAAAACATTGATGACAAACTAGAGATCTATTTATGAACTCTACAAGATGATTATATCGTTTAAAAACAGTATATGAATGTGCCTTAGAAATCACAATAATATCCTGTTGTTTTTCTCCTTAGCTGTGCTCACTCCCATGTGGGGCAGATGCTCTTCCCCGCAGGAAGATGATGAATTGGAAATGGGGGACCCTGATGTAAACAAGACGAAAGTCTTTCTCTGGTCTGCATCCCCTTAACAATTGTATGTTTTGAGCTGTACTGTACCCAATATACAAGCTGTTAATAAACTTTTCAATCAATCAATCAAGATATCTGTACAACACCTGCAGCAGTTAACCACTGATGACCTTCAGTAGCATTTAGAAAGCCTTTTAAATCATTGCAGGATTTAGTACTGTCCCAACAACTGCAGAACCCAGTAGAATTCTGCAAACCACACCAATCAACATCACCTAATCAGTAAATCAGACCCTTTTAAACCCTAGCTAAACAGATAATATGAAGCCTCGTTTTATAAGGCATTTTTCTTGGTTATGTCCAATGCATATCAACCCGCACATAGGCTTGTGCAAAGACTACAAAGCTCCAATAACTCTCACTAAATACGTGCAAGAAGCCACTTTGAGTGCAGTTAAGAGCATTACCGATTACAGCCTACAAGAGGGCGCATGCAGCTCAAGAGTCAGGCTTTGTCACATTACAGGTTAATTATACAGGCTGACCAAAATGGCTAAGAACACATTCAACTTATGAAATATATAAATAATAAAAAGCACGTGAATTAAAAATGATAAAGCATACAACTTATGCTTAGTAATACCAATTAACATGATTATAAGCATACTACAACATTGCCCTATACACCTTATTTCATACACTTGAATGACAATGACATTACACTCGAAAGTATGTGAACACCCATGGTTGTTTTTTTATGGTTTGACATCTCAAGAATACAGGATTGTCTTCCTGTCTTATAATGTAAATATCCAGATAGAACAAATAGTGTTGAGGTGACATTAACTTTTTAATGTGAATATTTGTGTTACATGAGGCCCATTCAGAACATTAAATTCATGGTATCAATGTTACTCTCATGGTTTGACAGGGAAAGTATGATCACTTATGCAGTCTGAAAATATGTGTATGTGTAACAAGTGAAAGTAAAAAAGAAAGGCCACAGGACCAGACAATCTCAGTGCTTTTATTTTGAAAACTTTAGCAACCCAACTGATCTGATCATCAGTAATCTAATTAGCAAGTCTAAATCCAGCAAGGCTGATAGCAGCAGAGACAAAAGAGGTGGCGGACAAATCAAAATTAAACTCAATGCCATTGCCAACACTAGGTGTGGCTTTCTGTCAGATGAAACAAACTGACAGAGATATACCATCAGAGACAGGACCTGCAGTAAGAGCATGTCCCCTGGGAAGTTGGCAGTTATTTTTGGACTTGGAGTAGCTGCGGGGTTTATCATACAAAGTGGAGACCCGCTGGACTCCTGGTACCCGGTATGGCGGGAAACAGGGCTGCTTGCACGGGCTGTGGTGTGCCTCATCGCCGGGGCTTCCCTCTTCACCCTCGGCTGGCTGCACGGGTTCCTCTTCGGTCCCCTGGAGCTGCTGAGGGGGCCGGACGATGTGGGATACATAGTCGAGAACGGTCGCTCGAAAGCCCAGGCTGCAAACGAGGTCCGCCGCAGGAGGAGAACCGGAGACCTGCCCCCGGTGTATCCGAACGGCTGGTACCGGGTGCTGGACTCACACACGCTGCGGAGGGGAGAGGTCAGGAGTGTCACGGTGCTAGGTAGGCTGGAAGAATTACTGATGGTTACATAATAAATAGGCCACTTAAGAGTAGTGTAAAAAAAGGTGGGCTATAACCATGAAACGTCTTCATTTGGTTACTTTCATTAAGCAATTTCTACGTTTGAACATGCAAATTAGACTTATATCTTATCTAATATTTTTCTAATTGTAGGCTATAACTTTTTTGCAACAGAAGTCTGAGATCAAGTCAAGTTCAAAATGATTGAATCAACACCTTTTGAGAGGGGATTTGAAATATCTCTTTGTATCATTCCATAAATCTGATAAGAAACATAAAAAACAACACAAATCTTGCCATATTTGTAGTTATTAACATTACAATATAACTTATAAGCCTACAAAGTTAAGATAGGCTATAATAATAAATCAGGCTACATATCATAGGAACAAACCCTTCTGTTAACATCTTTAGATGGGAATTAACCTTGAAAGTGTGCAAGTGACTGATACACAAGTTATGAAAAGCTAGATTGCTCAAACTCTGACAAAATACCAGCTTCCATATTATTATAGTGTGTGATGCTTTTAAATTACATGTAGATGCAGTAAAAACATGACCACAAGTGGCTAACCATCATCGAACACAATTGACTAAGAGGTTCTCCAGCACTAACATTTTGGACGGAGATCAAGTAAGATGAGATACATGGGCTCAGCAGTGGGGCAGGTTATGAATATGCTGACACTGCCCCCTTTTTACATGAGGCATCAGATGTGAGATGCAGACGGGTGTGTTTACCCGGTGTGAAGAGGAAATCACTTCACAACAGTGACATTTTGACACTGCATTTAACCCATAGTTGTGGAAAGATACTAAAAAGCGCCCTTATAATTATTTTACTTCAATTGTAATCTTAATTTTTAATGATTATGATTCATTACCTAAGTAAATTGTAAGAGGTGCAATTGTCAATACAGAAAATGCACCTTTTCTTATTTTAAAGTTTAAAGTTCTTAGAACTTTATTGCATTTCTACCACTCAGATATTTGTCACCTGGTTTCTGTTGTCAGATAGCTTTGTATTGCGCCAAGTTGCCAGGATATACATGGAGACAGGCTCATATTACACCGTTTTTTAGATTTTAAAGTATACATTCAGAACACAATGGCTTACCATCTTTGTTTGTGTAGTTAAGCGATCAGGTTCCAAGTGTCGTTGAAACGGGACTGTTTATTAAATCATTTCGTAATGGAAGCAAGGTGACATCTTACAATTATTAATTCCTGAATAATGTGTTTCTGTACTCATGTTTTCACTTAGGCCACAAAACAACTTGTGTTTTGCTGATGAAATGCTTTACTGTGGAGCTGCTGCAGTATAATTAGCATTTCAGTAACACAATAATGCCTTTTTTCAGAGAATGTAGCCACAGATCGTAATACTGCAAATATTTGAATACTAACTATAATCAGTAAGCCATTGGTTCAATCACTATTGTTTTACCTCATTAATTAGAGAAAACCCATGTTCAGACAAGGATTGTATTCTTTAAATATTCTCTGATTTGCTTAGATTTGGTTTCACTCTAAAACAAGTATGTTTCTACTTTTGGCTGTCTGCTTGGCAACTGCTCTCTTTGCTGTAATAACAGTAGATCCAGTGTATCCATCTGGACCTGAGGCCAGCAGGATGGTCTTAATTCAGCTTTACCTGTCCAACAGTGACTGAGTGACATGTTAAGTTTTCTTTTTGGATAAGATATTTTTTCTGATGTATTACTTTTTTCGATAGCCTTTTATTTTTTCAGTTTTTCTGACTTTTGGGACGTTTTAGAAAAATGTGTCTTCTTCATATTTACTGTAGCTGTAGATCTCTTTCCTTACCAACTCCTACATCAGGGGGAGGAGGCTGAAAGGGTGAATGGGATGGGTTGGAGGGGGTTTTGGGTGTGAAGGAGGTAGATATGGTGTGGGGTTGGAGACTCCTTCTTTCTATCCTGTTGAATTCTCCCATGGTCTAAACCTTCCTTAGGTTGGGTTCCTGTTCGATTCCTCTTGTCGCTTGTTTTTCATCAGAAACAGATTTTTGACCCAGATGTAAAATATAAAACCTCCCATAGCTTCTTGGTATGCATAAACTCTGTTACAAAGTAAATGTGTTTCCAACAACGATACCTATGTGATTTATTTTAGAATATTTTCATTGATGCACCTTATTTAAAACATACGTGTTTCAGATGTGTTTTAGATGAGCTATTCCTGTGTTGCTATGCGGTGGGACTGTTTGATCTCTTCAGAGAGTTTCTTTGCGTTTGAATTCAAAACGGTTTCAAAGAGGGTGTGAAGCTTTCATGCTTCTGTCACATCACCCACCATAAATAAACAAACACTATATGAAAGGTTCCCTACCCCAAAAACATATCCACTAGTGAAAAGACACACCTGCTCTTGCAAAGTGGATTAGCATACAGCTTCGCTTAAAATAATCCAATAATCTATACAACTGAGAAAAAGTAGCACATCCCACATTTGAGAAGCTGTTACCAGATAATTCACTTTTCGTTGACCACCGACGGAAAAGATGAATAGACCCAATCATTTAAAGCTGCTGTCAACTCTGTTTCTGATGGTGTTTTAATGTGCAGTGGTTATGTCAATAAAGTAGTCTTTATTTTTAACCGGAGTTGCTCAGTATCATGACGGTTAATCTTCTGACGCAAGAATGAATTGTCATGCTTTTGAAAAAGAGAATATACATTTCAATAGATTTAGGATTTAAAACAACACAAGCAAATATCAAATATGTAAATTGACATGTGAAAACTTTAATATCGATGCACATTTTAAGGATCCTGATCATCTGTTGACTTGTTGGCTTCTCTATATATCAGATTTTCAGCAAACACTAGTGTAACACACCGGTTTTTAAAGCTCCTACACACTAAATCTGTGATGCAGATCAACTGTTACCAAGGTGGAGACAATGGACTCCTATAAAACACTAATTATACAGTACAGGCTCTGTATTAGACAACCTCTTAGTCCATGATGCTTAATATAAAGTAGATCATTGTACATGCTCTGGTCCTCTTCAACCCACCTTGTCCCTTTCAGTACCCCCCCTCCAATTTACTGTTCCATATTCATTTGTACAGGATCCAAGCTCCCCTAGGATCTGCATCCTGCTGTGAATGACTGCAGCACCTTGCTCTTAACCTTTCTGTGCAGTCATCCATTTGCATCATGTATTCAATTCCGCTTATTTTGCCCTTTGCTCCTCCGACACATTGCGCTGTGGTCAGTTCTGCCAGAGGGTTACTCTTGAGGGTTACTCTTGACCAAACTGACTCAGCCTGAGCTAATCTGGGAGAAATCTGAAGACTGTATGTCAGCCAAAGGTTAAGGCAAAAACAGGAGACACAAGAGGAAGAGATCGTAACGTGCTGTGTTACTGTGCACAGATTCATCTGAGCACGCACCGTGCTAAATCCATCCTTGTAGCCAAATGTGACGTAACATTTAGCTAACAGTTGAATGAGGGTAGCAATAGGCAACATAAGCATTTGAACTGACTTCAATTCATTATGTTTAAAGCCACTATGTATTGAATTTGAAAATCAATGCACACCTAGCCCAACCAACACGTTTTACTATAATAGTTGAATTTGCTACAGACAGAACAAAAGCCATTTTAATAATTACACACATTTTTCAATTCTACTCGAGGGTTTTCATTATTGATGAAGCCATTTTTTAAATTGCCAACAAGGCACACATCATTTAAAAAATCCAATCACTGCAACACTTAATTCAGCATTTGGCTGCGCTCTATATATTTCTAAATAAAATGTATTCGGGGCCAGTTCGCTTGTGACAGCCAATTCTATCATTTTAAAACAGCAGTGGCTGCGTGCTCCTGAGGTTTGCCTCCACACAGTGACAAAGCAAGTCTACACTATCTCTGTTTGCCAGTCGCTTCTAAAAGAACAGGCTCAATCAAAAATAATTAGAGTAACCTTGTTATAAGAGTCTTTACATATATTGCCTCTAATTAACCTCCTCTCATTAATTTGCCCAAGGAGTTATCTTTTATATAGCCTCATCCATACTATGTCTTTAAAATAATTTATACTTAACTTCATACCATCGTAGGGTTTGGCAATATGTTTTATATATTTTTGTTTATGTCCAATATATTAGTAAACCATTAAATTAGCTAAATAAAATGACAAAAATCGCCAAAAAATCAACAATCGTAAAAGTATTCGCACAATCCTATAACCTACATTTTATAACATTACCATTGCATTCTAATTAGTGGCTGCTCATTCATTGAAATGTGTGTCCCTACCCCCATGAATGGCTGTAGGTGAGCAGGTGGCAGTGTTTCGGGGCCAGGATGGCGAGGCCTACGTTGTCGATGCCTACTGCCCTCACCTGGGGGCCAACCTGGCTGTGGGGGGGCAGGTGATGGGGAACTGCATCGAGTGCCCGTTTCATGGATGGCAGTTTCGGGGAACGGATGGCAAGTGTGTGAAGATCCCCTACGCAGAAAAAGGTAAGAATTATTTATCATACAAGAAATATGTTTCGTGTATAATTAAAAATGACTTGCAATGTCTCAGTGCTATGGGGCCTTAATTGGTTCTATTTTAGCTTTCATTGTCTTCAAATAAAATGCATTTCATTTAACCATGCATTACTGTTTCTAGAAAGAATAATAGTTAAAGGCCTTGCAATTGGGTAGTGCTACATGTCCTGAGGGGGGTGCTATAGGACATCCTGAGACAGACGTCTTATGTCTAACCCTTACATTTCGGTCTGTGTGCTGGGTGTAAAATCTAAGAAATTGGGCCTACAGTTAGTGCTAGCAGAAAGGTTGAGGGACCCAAAAAAATATCTAGATTCGTGGGTATTTTTGCATTTAATTTACAGATTTAGAGATCACATGTTGATTAAAGAGACTGTATTTGGCTTTGGTTTGTCGATCAGTGCCAGACTTTGCCAAGGTGCGCATCTGGCCCAGCTGTGAGCTCAACGGGCAGGTCCTGGTTTGGTTTCACTGCGACGGAGAAGATCCTCAGTGGCTGGTCCCAGAGCAGCAGGAAATCACAACGGGCGAGTGGGTGTACCGGGGGAGAACTGAACACTTCATCAACGCTCACATACAAGTAGGTGCATATGTGGGTGAATGTGTTGTTACTTACATGAATAGGATTTAGAGTTTTTTAAATAGAAACTAATTCATTAGGTGTTTTTCTTTCACCTAGGTGTCTCAACTGTTTACTTGACGATTCTACTTTTTTGTTTTTGTTGATTTTATTAGATTTATTTCGAATGTGTAAAACAATAATACAAAAATTTAACATGAGAGTTATTATACAATACAAAATCAAGCAGTGTCAAATTGAAATACAAAAATATTACTGATTGTAAGTTATGTATAAACAAATAATCTACTTAATTACACATCCGAAAAGGGGTGGGAAGAAGTTTGCACTTATTTAATCCCACTCCTTCTCCCAAAAACGAAATTATTAACAAATATATATATATATTTTTTTTTATAATATAAATGATAAAGGACATATGACATATAAATGAAATATAAAATTCCCATGGCAGAGAAGGGGCTTTTCTTCTGTTAACAAACTTTCAAAAATGTTCACAAGAATGGTTCATGGTTTTCCAACTGTAGGAGATTCCTGAAAATGCAGCAGACATCGCTCACCTCGGTCACCTTCACACGCCGGCCATTGTCAGCGGAGTAGATCTGCGATACACCAACAGCAAAACCTGGGAATTCCTGCGGCATGACTGGAAGGTAAGGATCTCACACCTTTAACGATCTTCAAAGTTTTAAGGATGCCACATCACTTCTAAACATTCAAAAGTGTTCGACACACTCTTCAATCGTGTTGATGCTACTCAGACTGTACAGAATACATTTCTTTTAGGAGGATGAAGTACTTCTGAATGGTGTATTCGTGTGTTTAAATGCCATTGTGTTTACTTTGGCTACATGTATGTGTGTGTTTATTCAAGGTTCAATGGGAGCCAGAGGCAGAGCCCAACAAGCATTGTTCTCAGATGTTGGTGAAACATGCTCTTACTGTCTTTGGAAGCACCTGGCACCTGCTGGATGTCCGTGTTTTGGCCAGACAGGTACAGTACAAATATTTTAATTCTACTGACCGCATAATCATTAAACCTCTCAGCGATTTAATTAAAATTAAAATTGATTCCACCCACAGTGATTATGTTTCAGATAAAAACATCTACTGAACTGCACCTCAACTCAAGAAAACAAAACTGAGATTCCTTAAATGGCTTTTAAATATAGATGAAGAGTTAAGATGAACATGGTTTCTGGCTTTTGTGAAGTATTTGCAACCTTTACTGTAAGTGTTCATGAAAAGAGCCCAAAGGACATGAACAGTGCGTGTTATAACAAAATGTAAAACATCAGTGGCCTGAATACCAAATAAGTAGGTGTCCACAGGGTCTTAAAAAGTATTAAAAGTGATCAATTTAGCGAAAATTAAGGCTATTAAAAAGTATTAAACGGCATTTTCCAAGGTATTACATTTTGTAGCTTGTTTTCAATAAGTATATAAATGGTCCAAAGAGGTTGCATTCTACAGTGCGCCTGAATGTAATCATTGCCTAGGTGTGTAGTGTGATTCTGTGTAGTTTATTTATGGCATCCCGTTGGATTTGACGTCATCTGAACAGGACATCGCACGCTCACTGCTTGATAGCGCGCGAAGGTCCGTTTACGCCGGTTGCTAAGCAACATCGTTATGGGGAAATGCAAGTTTGCGTCCAAATGGTTGGAAGATAAGGAGGAAGGACAATCAATACTGTATATAGTCAATGTGAGGTAAAGTGTGTCGCCAATGTAACCGGTTAAAACTCCAAGTGGCGATGAGGTCTTAAAATGTATGGAAAGGGTCTTAAAAAAGGTCTTAAAAGGTCTTACATTTGACTTCAGGATTCCTGCATATACCCTGGTACTGAAAATGCTTTAGTTTTGCATGTAACAATAGCAATTACTATGCAGTCTGTGCCTTTAATTGATCTTGTTTACTCAGTTGCAATGATCACACGTGTGTTCCAGGTGGGTCCAGGATTGGTGTTTCTGCTGATTGAACACAGTTTCTTGGGCCGGGGTGTTATCCTGCAGTGTGTGACTCCAGTGGAGCCTCTGTTGCAGTTTGTCACTCACACCATCTTCTACCAGTCAAATATCCCTCCTCTGGTGCCCAAATTCATCCTCAAAGCGGAGTCCATTCAGGTACAGCACACACTCACCTCTAACTATGAATGCTATATAGTCGGTAATGTGCTCTATGCTGTCTTGGAGTACACATCAAATCTAACGACATGGCTGAGCTGCATGAATGATGTGCATTTAGAATATTGTTAATAAGTTTATAGTTCGGGATGTCAATAATGTGATGTGATCAGTGTGTGCTCTTGCCTCTCACTCCGCCTATGATTTAATCCTGCCTCGTCATTGCCACCAAAAGTAACACCACACATTCACAGAGAAAGGTGTAAATAGCCCTCATTAAACTCGATAATTAGCTGTGTAGTGAAGTGAAAAAACACAGTCATGGTTTTAAATGAAAGGAAAACTAATATGTTGGTGATTGTGTTTGCACCTCAAAAGACAACTGAATACATGACCTGACTTGAACATTGAACATTTAATTATTCCTCCTACACAAAGCTGATTCAAAGCCCTCTTCAGTGGGGGAGTCGTTACCATTTTAACACCATTTTGTCTTTGCTGTTCAGATATGCAAAATGATGTCACCTTAAAAGGGCCATATTATGCTTTTGGGGGTTTTCCATGTAGTATGTTGTATGGTGTTTTGTGCACGTAAATGGTCTGCAAAGGCTACAATCTGAAAGCTCCCTCCTTTGTTTACTTAAGGGACATAGTGACATCACTATGTAACACTTGCACTTCTATTGGCTAGCGCTCCATCACATTGTACGTGATCAGCTAAGGGGCGGGACATCTTTAAGTGATTAACCAATCACAACATAGCAGGCCAGCTAACCAATCAGAGGGGACTGGGCTCTGGTTTTAGACACAGGCAGTATGAGAAAAATAAACATAAAAAGCTATACAAATAACATTAAAGCATGTAAACATTTCACAGTAGAGGCACAACATACAAATAGGAACCTGACAATGAGCGGAATAGGGCCCATTTCAAAAGAGGTGGAGTGGATCAGTAGATGCGTTACTGTAGTTGGGTGGTTATCAGTTGATATTTTTCTATACTAATGCAATATGAGAGGACAACAGATAAAACAATATATTTGTATTTAACAAAAAGCCATACTTATCCATTTTCAATTGCAAGCAACTTTAAATCATGAGAAGAAATATGTCTATCTTGCAAAAAATGTTGTCATGTGGTATTCACACAGCACAATTTTGGAGGACATTTCAAGAGGTGGGCTGAAATACCAAATCCTAGCAGCTGATGGAGTAACTGTGGCGTGACATTTAATCAACAACACTTCAAACAGAAAACCCTGCTGATAAATTATAATAAATCAAATCCTGCAATGAGACAGGAAACAATTACAGATGGCTGTCTTGTCATTATGTGAAAGTGAGAGTCTGTTCCGTTTCAAATCTTCTGAAAAGGTGCCACCTGCTGATTATCAAGTGCTGGGAGCCAACACCAACATGTTCCTAATATGACGTATGAAGTTATCAAACAAACCTGTAACTACTGGTCAAACAAATTGAGTCTTGCGTTATCCTGGAAAAATGTGTATTCTGGAGACAGCCATTGTAGCAGGAACTACCACAGAGGAGGTTTTACAGTACTAAGATGGGTGTCTATTTTTCTCTCTGTGGTTTTGTCTTTACGATGTATCTCAATTGTACGAGAAAATGTCATAAAACTTTACAGGTTGGTAGTTAAATCAAAACGTAGGGTTTGTTTAAAAATGAGTGTGGTCTGGGTAAGGTGACAAGAAGTGATGACGTTGGGAAGATTGAATGTAGTTTCATTCTTAATCATAGGAAGAATCTGTTTCTTTCTCAAAATGAATGAGGATATAGAAAGTGCTGGGAGTAAATACAACAGGAGAGGATTTATTGGAATGTGGAATTTATTATGAGCTCTGAGAAAAAAGTCAGATTTGACTCCTGACTTTATTCTCATAACTCAAAAACTGTTTGTCAGATGTCAAGAAATTGTTCACATGTGGCCCCTCCTCTTCCGTAGGTGTCTAATAAAGCTCACATTAGTAACAGCAGCATTGTGAGGAGGCTAATGGCTCCTTCACCTTTCTTACTTACATCACACCTATCTTCAAATACAATCTCCATTTGGTCTAAACTAAACACGCTTTGTTGGTGACTGCATCTGGCATGGTTACCTCTGTGACAAAATCTGTCTACACACAAACAGATAGAAATATAAACACCTTGCGAGGTACTGAAACCCCCCTTTCCTTACCTGCTACAGACACATTCTCACAAAGAAAAACACTATACAAGCGTCATGGCTGGTCCATATTTAGTCAATGTTTATCTTTGTCACAGCTTTTTGAAATCCCTATTCACAACTCTGTCCATTGACCTTGCTCGACCTGTCTTGTTTTGTCTAGTTTGAGCGGGACGTAATGATCTGGAACAATAAGAAGTACATTTCCAAACCCCTCCTTGTGAAGGAGGACTCAGCCATCCAGAAGCACAGGCGCTGGTTCAGTCAGTTCTACAGCGAGAACAGCCCGCAGCTGCAACACCAGCTCAACACTTTGGACTTTTGACCCCCCTGAACCACAGGAGGAGAGATCAGCGAAGAAGATGTCAGGTCAGACCAGGGTTGACATTAATCAGAGGTGTCAGGGAAGGGAGGCCGGGATTGGATGTTTTAACTGTCACATGTAATAAATGAAAGGAGGATGGACCTGTTTGTGGGCTCTTCTGAAAGCCTGAACCTTAAATGACCCCTTCTTTTTCCTAGTGTTACTGAAGTTGCTTATATCAATCTACAGCTTTATACACAAGTGCCTACAGCTGTCATGTCCCCTGGTTGGACTGGTATGAATATAATATTATATTTAATATAATAAGTGACTGAACCTACAAAGTAATAATAATACTGAAATCACCACAATTGCCTCGTTTATAACTGTGATGAAACCATTGGGTTGTCGGAGCAATTTTACCCTGTAAAATGTGAATTATTACCTAAACTGTGATTTGTTTACATGTTTAACTAGAAACTATATAAGTTACTTTTCAAGCTGTTTTTTTCTGAATGTTTTGTATGGGTTAATATAAACCTTGAGTTTAGCGGAAACTGCTGTTATGTGATTGTATATGTTTGTTTCTCACTTTGTCTTTATCATCTTCGGCTGCAGGTAAAATGGCAGGTGTGTTTGTTATTTTGTTGATACCTCAGGTTATTATTTAGAAAAAGCAGTATGATGACAAATGTATGGCTTTTCCTTCGATGTCCATTCCTCATCTCTCATAACAATCTTTAGGATTCAGGGTCGTAAGGACCATTAATTAAACATGATTATGAGTGAACTTGAAGTTGATAGATGTGGATTTTACTTTAAAAACAGCAAGGCTATCTGTTTCCTCCTTTCCCATTACGACAACAACCGCAGGTGACCCGAGCCGGTTGAGCTAGATGCAACACAATGCTTAACAGGACTTTTTTTTCAGGAATTCATTTTTATAAAATAAAAACAGGCTTTTTAAAAGTTGTAAACCAAAAAGACGAGTGGCAGCAACTCCCAGACCGGACATCACACTGTATCATACGGACCTGGATTTTCTTAATTTGACTAAAACGACATGATGTTGCTTTGGACAAGACTTGAAACAAGAGATTTAGATCATTCACTCATAAGGAAAATGTTTAATGAGGTAATAAATCAAGTGATAAATAAGCTAATTTTCTCATAGACTTCTATACAATCTGACTTCCCAGGGGATTAGCCCCCTGCTGGACATTAGAATAAATGCAGGTGTAATGCACTTCCACATAGGCTTCACATACCATCATCTTGCTTTCTGGGCACAACTGGCGACAAACGATGAAAGTCCTTTTATTATGACAGATAATACTTTCTGTTCATAAATTATAACAAACGAGTAGCATTAAAAATAAATGACCTTTTAATGTAATTTAACAAAATGCAAGTGAATAAAAACGTGCTACTGCAAGTATGTGCAATCAAATGTTTTATGTGTCTTTATTGACAACTGCACAACAAAAACCCTTTATTTAAAATGTAGATGTGATCATGTATGTTCCTCTTAACACAGTGATTGTATATGGAGGATACAGTATGTGTATATATGAGTATATGTGGCTGGAGAACAGCACATTTTTAAGCGACCTTGGGTCCCATGAAAGGCGCTATATAAATCTAAGCTATTATTATTATAACATGATTGTTTCCATCACTGCTCTAGTCTAGAAGATCTATACAAGACATCAATATGGATATATCCATTTATTTACTCCAAGCTCACACTGATGACTCCATACTTAATCAGTGATGACTGCAATGCTTCAAGGCTTTGCTTTATTGAACAATAATAGTGTGCAATAATCTTCAGTTGCCATGGGTAATAGGGCTGATGTTGTTGCTCATCATTACACTTTCATTTCCGAAGGAGAAGAAGCATTACAAAGCAAATAACCAGCAATGTAAAATAAACTCACAATACTTGATATAAATGTGAGATGAACTATGTTCCCTCTGAATATTCAAATGTATTTTTGTCACTGGCTGATCATGTTGTGCAGTTTAATTTCAATATGCAGAATAAATCTGCATGGGCTTTGCCCTAATGTGTTTTGCTCGTGCATTTCTCAACTCAAGACCTTTTCATTTAGCTGACTCCGATAGTGTGTTAAATTAAGCATATTAAGGAAAGGTTTTTGTATTACTTATCCAGTGGCACTTTTGTGAGGCTTGTATTTTATGCTAAGCACTCTTTATCTGTGAATGTGCTTATCTTATCTGGGTTTATGGTGGCAGAGAACTGTGTGTGCCTTTGTTATAATAGTGAAGCATTACATCAACATTTGGCTCCCTTGAGCTTTTTCCAGGAGGAAAGCAGACTTGGTGTAACCAGCAAACATTGAGAGTGCGTTAGGACTGTGTTGAAAGCTAAAGAGAATTGTTCAGTAAAGGATGGCTGAGGCAGAAGTCCTTGAAACCCAGGAGGAAGACGTTGTTACACTCAAAGAAAAGCACCTGGGAGCTACAGAAGAGACTTATTTTGGAGTTGTCTACACCACGAGGGACAGGCAGGAAGACGAGAGCGAGTCGGTCATTCAGCCTCTGTTGCCGCACGAACAGCAGAATCACAAAACAGACACGCAAAGGGCTCCAGATGGGGCTGACCCAAAGACATCTGCTCCACAAGAGCTGGATTTGTCTGGCAGGCGTGAGCCCAGCTGCAGTGGAAGTGTCAGGAGTGTGTGCAGTGACAGCAGTCGGCACGAGTGCCCCATCTGTAGCGAGCCGTTCGAGCCTCACTGTGTTACCTTTCTCAACTGCAACCACGCATTGTGCCACCACTGCACAACCGGCATCTTGACACGGGCGAAGGACCAGAGCCGGCTGCAGTGCCCCTTCTGCCGCCAGACCACCCCCTTCCCCCAGTGGGAGATCAGGAGGCTGCAGGAGGAGTCGTACAGTAGCAGCGTTTATGAGCCAGGACCGGCCCTCGCTGGGACTCCTGGCCCTGAACTTCAGGCTGTGTTTGCTGCGGACACACACAGAAACACACGGGGATGCTGCAGCAGGGGGTTGATGCGACCAAACTCTCTTTGTTTGTCCATCTCTGGATCGCTGCTGCTCTTCCTGCTGCTGCTGGGCTGCTTCCTGTTGTAATGATGTCTTTACTCATAAACTAGATTATCATTTCATGTAATCTCAGGTGTCTGACTTCTGCAAAATTGTTCAGAGATGAACTGCTTGTTAACTATTTTGATACTGAAAGGGCAATAAGACACATCCACCAAGAACCAATGTCATATCTTCCAACCTAAACTGAAGCAAAAAAGGATTTGTGTATTCAGCCAGTGTTTTGGGTCTGCTGAAACCTGTATTGGGCTCTTTCTTGACCCATGCTTCAGGTTTCATGACAATTGTGCTAATATGTTTCCATAATTTGCTTGGTGGTGGTAAATAGAAGGGCAATTGGAGAGCCTAGAGGTAAGCGAAGGCCAATGCGCTATCACCCAATGTTATCAAAAGCTACAAATCATTTCTCATGAGGAGTGAATCCGCCTAATGTTCCGAATCTGCGACAAAATGTAATGGGTTCTTCCGTAGCTGATGCTACACTCTTCTACTATTACAGTAGTTACTTTTGCCATAATCCTGCTGACAGACCGGAAACATAACCTCCTTGGCTGACTCAAAACTTGACTGAGGCGGGGAAATACAAACATCCGTATGGTTAGCACACTGAACAGGGTATACTGTAGTGCAGGGGTGGCCAACCTGCGGCTCTCGAGCCGCATGCGGCTCTTTGCCTAGTTTCATGCGGCTCTTCAGTTCATATTGAATTTTATATGTGTGAGTTTGGGGGAGAGACACTGACTCCTGACTAGTGGTGCACGGTGTACCGATACTTGAAAGGTATACCGCGATACCCTGCCGTTAAAAACGTTACGATTCCTCCGTTTAAGAATGACGGCGGAAAGTACTCCGGTGAGAAAGCGCCGTTTAAATAAGAGCTGTGTGTGTTCAGCGCTCTGCTTCCACTCCCTGCTCTGCAGCCGTGCCTACAGTCCCGCCCCTCTCAAGCACGCTCAAGTGCCTCCCCGCTCTCGTGCACGCGCTAGCTGCCAGAGCGTGTGAGAAAACGAGAAGCATGGCTGCAAGTGGGAGTGCAACTGCCGCTGCGCCTCGGCTTGTTGACAAAAAAGACGCCAGAAGCTAAATGTGGAAGTATTTTAGCTATATCTCTGACAGTGAGGGCAAGCCTACGGACACCACGAGGCCTGTCTGTAAGAAATGTATTAATTTGATTTAATACGAATTCTTGTCATGTATTGTATTTATTGTTCTCATTGTTTAAAAGTTTGTGTTATGGTTCTGGTGTGAAATAAAGCACAATAATTACATTTAAGACTGTTTCCCTTTTTTTAAGAAAAGTATCGAAAAATAATCGGAATCGCAATTCTTGACTTGGTATCGAAACCAAAATGTTGGTATCGTGACAACACTACTCCTGACAGTTAAACCTGATATTTAGTAGGTCTGTTAAGTATTGAATGCTGATAATTCTGACGTAATTTGGCCGGTCAAAGTTGTTTGGGCTCGGATAAAATTGCTCCGTTACTTTCGTTCCGTGTTACTTTCGTTCCGTGTTACTTTCGTCCCGTGTTACATTCGTCCCGGCTCTCCCTACGTGTGTATGTGTGGTGTCAGTATGAGAGGATGACAGCGCGTCTAATTTTGATGTGGCCCAAGAGCCAATCACAATAATACCTGCGATGCAGTGAACCAATCACTTTTTGAGTGGGGGAAAACCTATGATTAAACACTACTATCCAGTGTTTCCCCTACCATTGTCTTGGAAGGGCGCTGCACCCCGCCAACGGAGCCCCGCGCCCCCCCCCTGAAATTCAAGGTGTTTAAAAAATATATATAATTTTTTTTTAAATATATCGCACCAAATTGCAAATAATCTATAACTACTGTCACTTTTCACATTGAACATGTGCTCTTTTATTAAATAAACTAAACGCTTTCATTTGAAGTTGTGAGTTTAGTGTTTTTGACCCTAAGAAACACTGATGCATTAATCAATAACAATAATCCACAGCTCCTCTCTCTGCTCCAGAGGATTTAAAAAATATATATCCCAATGCCACAAAAATGCACCAGTGACGTGGTTGAAATCTTGTCTCCAGAAAACAAAAAACTGAAACAAGCGGTATCAGTGACTGTGTGTTTGATGTGGCTCTTTGCAGTAACATAGAAAAAATGTGGCTCTTAACCTCTGACTGGTTGGCCACCCCTGCTGTAGTGTATAGCTTGGAAGAATCCATTTATTGTCAAATGTCAATTATACTTCCATTATTTTTTCAACATGATTTATAACCTGTTTTAAACATGATACCTGATTATTCCAGACTCACGTTTGAATAGCGATCTTTAAATGTAGATATTATAAAAAAGTGATTTGACACTTTTGCTGGTGAACATGAAGAACTTAGCCAGGCGGTTTCTATAAGGTTAAATAATATGTGTATTCACCATGTTTTTCAGATCCCTTCCATTTAATAGGTTCTTCCTTCGCCTACCCTCTTCCTCCAAGTGTCATGACATTTGGGTTTTATGATGAATCATGCTCACAGATAACAGAAAAAACAACAAACCATGAGCAACGTAACCTTTTTTAAATACTGTAAACTGTGTTCATTGTACAACATTTCTAAAATATCTCCTAAACTAAAAGGCTCCAGTCTCTTATCAGTTTGTCAACCTCTGATATTTCTTTGAAGAGTGCTGCAGCTTTGTACTGTAGAGTTTTGTGCCACAGATAAATTGAGGTTTGACTTTGGAACAAAACTCTACATCTCTTTCTGGGTCTAGTACTGACCTACTTCTTATCAGAACAGTTTGGATGCTCTCAGCTGTGACGGCTGCATATTCTTAGCAACACAACTCCAGCTTGATCTCCTTTATAGTGCACATGGCGGAGACATGGCCCTACAATGTAATCCTTTATATCCATCTTACTCACTCAAAGAGATAAAGAAAGAGAGCAATGATGAAAGCTGGTTTTTAAGCTCCTTTTTCTACTTTCTACTTTTAGGGTTTTGTTAGTGATGCATGTGCACTCATAAATGTGTTTCTATGTATTTATTTCTACTAAATACGAATGCTATATGAGTTTTAGGTTTTGTGAAGAATTTGAAAATTCATTAAAGGTGGGGTAGGTAAGTTTGAGAAACCGGCTCGAGATACACTTTTTTGAAAAAAAATTCATCTGTGGAAGCCGTGGCGCTGTAAAAAGCACGACCAATCATCTGAGCCGGCCCGGCTAAAGTAACTGGATGGCCTACCTGCCTGTCAGCCTTCCATCTGTGCACAAACTTATCTCGTGCCCTCATTGGTCATGTGCGCGTTCGTGTGTGTTGGAGGAGGGGCTCTGGAAGGAAGTGGCAGATTTCTTCCGGCTGTGTATTTTCAAATTCTAGCGCA